GTAAGACCATATGGTACTTCTGTTTTGGGCTTGAAGTTTAGAAGTCAGTGTTTTTTCTATGTAGCTCAATTTTTTGCTTTATGATACTAAGTTAAACATGATTTGGCAATCATTTTCAATTTTAATTACTATGATGTTATCAATAAAGTGCATTATGTGTTAAATGAAAACTGCTAAAATTAGGTATATCTTTATATAGACAAATGCAAATAATCACGTACATGCATGTGTGCCAGACTGGAATCTCTTCTTGCATGGACAATTTTGTGTCTTGATTTTATAAGCTGTGCATTTGGTGAAAAGACTTGCATGGATATGGTTTGAAAAGAGATTTTATATCATAATAAAAATCTGTATTGTTGACAGTCAGATGGTTAAGGGGACCGTCCCATTTCAGGGTTTCACCTGGTTGAATTTGAGTTATCAGTTGTTTCATATTCATGTACACCTTGAAAGACTTGTTTCTTTGAGTACTAAGTGTGGAAGTGCCAGCCTGTGTAACTGCTTGTCACCATTTTTGGTTGGCTCACAGATGAGCTTCGAGTTTACGGTACGAGTTTTAAAAGTATACCAGTATGACATGAGCAATGAATATTTTAGCTAGAATGTGATCAAAGTATGTTCTGATTGCTGATTTGAACAAATTTGAATAAAGTGTGATGTTATGGAAAGTCGAGTGGTAGTTGGCTTATTTGTATATAACTACAACAGTTCAAGAATTTTTTTTAAAGTTTAGGGTGATTACTACCATCCTGTGGGATTATTAAGCCAAGGTTGATCCTCAGTTATACACGCAAAAAGTTTCCCATATGTAGGTCTTCTGTTGTTGATGCATTCGTTTATGTTCTGCCATAGCACAGATGACCTTTTACTAATAACCATATCACTTACCACACTACTTAATTTAGCCTTTAGTTTGTGTGAACACTATGTGCTGCAGTAGCAATACTTTTCTGAATGTAAGTGAGACGTAACTAAACTGGTCAGGTGAGATAGGATCCATGAAGGAGCATAAAAATGCATACTTGCATGCTTGTTAGGATATATTTGCACATGTATACATGCATGTATACATATGGAAATTTTTCGCCACATAGAAGACAGATTTTTGTACCCTGAAAAATCATCCAAAAAATAACCTGCATCCTATGACTTGCAGGTACCTTTTGGCCAAGCCCAGTAAATTTTGAAATTTCTGCTAAGCCCTGCCATGCCCTGAAATTCATTAAAAAAAAGATGTGCTGTAAGCACTTAGGGTTGATCAAATTTGACTAGTGTTTAAAAAAAGCAACTCACGGGTTCTTTGTATATAATTTTTAGATCAGAAGGAGATAAGTAATAATACACATGCAAGCTGTATATAAACAAAGATATGTTGTAGAAATATATCTAGTAAGAGTTGAAAAAAAAAAAAATGGGACAGGCTTCTGCAAGAATTTTTATTTTTTTTATTTTTCATTTCATGATTTTTTTCTGGGGTACATCCTATGACATGCTGCGTCTTATATGGCTTATAACATAGTACTTACATGTATGTAAACATGTATTTATGTGTCATTATATGTGTATGTACACGTGAGTTTATCCTTGTGTATAAAATTATTTTGGTAATGTAACCTCATTTTATTGCATATGTAATATACTTTGGATAAATGAATATCATAAATTCATACCAGCAAAAGTGAAAAATTAGCAATTATTTAAATACCTTTTTTCTGATATGTAAACCATAAGTTTGAAAGATATATTGAAAAGAAAACTTTTTAGTTATATATATACGTATATAAATATATATAAATATATATAATATATATAATATATATATATATATATATATATATATATATTATATATATATATATATATAAATATAGATAATAGATATGTAATACACACACACACACACACACAACACACACACACACACACACACACACACACACACACACACACACACACACACACACACACACACACACACACACATACACACACACACACACACACACACATACATACATACATACATACATACATACATACATACATACATACATACATACATACATATATATATATATATATATATATATTATATATATATATATATATATATAATATATATATATTATATATACACACATTTGCTAGTTATTATGATTGAGATTTTATAACCATTTGAAATTGATGAAGACCCAAACTTAAAATTCCATTTCTCAGTTAGAATTTTTTTTTTTTTTATTGAGGCAGCATCACTGCACAGATTGATAACTTTTTTCTTCTTTTCTTTCTTTTCTTTCTTTCTTTTCTTTTCTTCCCTTCCTTCTTCCTTGCTTCCTTCAATACTATTGATTTTTTTTAGACCCTTTTACACCATTGCTAAAATGGAAATTGAAGATTGACTGTTTTATGGTATCAACTAGTGCTTTCAAATATAATAAACAGTAATCAGATCAAACTATCGGTGTAGAAATGCTGCCCCAAGGCCTTCTGAACTCTTGACCTCAAATTATCATTTTAGGGTGTATATATATATATATATATATATATATATATATATATATATATATATATATATATATATATATATATATTGATATTGATATATGTATTCATATAGACAAACACACACTTTTTTTTCTCTCTCTTCAACACCCAAGTAGAATTGTTATTACAATTGGTTATGTTTTTATAAGCATTTCTACAAGCTTCATAGGATGGTCCCCTTTAACCACCAAAGATTTTTACTGTATTGTAAGTTTGCATTGCTAATTGAGTAAACCCTGCAGAAGAGTGACTGTCCAGTCAGCCATGTGCACACACACACATATACACACGCACACACACGTGTACATACACACATGTATATGCATGCACACGTATATATATACACGCACACATATTCACACATACGCACATGCACACATATACGCAGACGCACACATACACACACGCACACAAGCGCACATACACACAAGCACTCATACACACAAGCATACATATGCACAAGCATACATATGCACAAGCACACATAACACAACACACAACACACAGCACACACATACACAAGCACACACATACACACAAGAACACATAGACACACATGCACATACACACACACACACACATACACATTTATAGATACTTGAAAACATATACACACACATACACATACACTCGTACACATATACACACATGCACACGTACACACACGTACACACACATACACACATGGACATGTACATGTACACACACATACACACATGTACATGTACACACATATACACACATGCACACATGTACACAATATTCACACATGCACACATGCACACATACACACGTACCCACACTTATACACATGCACACATACACACGTACCCACACTTATACACATGCACACATACACACGTACCCACACTTATACACATGCACCATACATACACATGCACCCAAAATACACATGCACCCACACACATTACACATACACATGCACCCACACATACACATACACATGCACCCACACATACACATGCACCCACACATACACATGCACCCACACATACACATGCACATACACATGCACCCACACATACACATACACCCACACATACACATGCACCCACACATCACCCACACATACACATGCACACACATACGCACGCACACACCACACACACACACACGCACAACACATACGCACGCACACACATACGCACGCACACACATACGCACGCACACACACATACGCACGCACGCACACACATACGCACGCACACACACATACGCACGCACACACACATACACACGCACACACACATACACACGCACACACACATACACACGCACACACATACACACGCACACACATACACAGGCACACACACAAACACACGCACACACATACACACGCACACACACATAAACATGCACACACATACGCACACGCTCACATACACACAAGCACACATACACACAAGCACTCACATACACACAGCACACATACACACAAGCACTCATACACACAATACACACACATATGAAAACATATACACACATACACACATGTACACGTACACACACATGCACACGTACACACACATACACATGTACATGTACACACACATGTACATATACACACACATGCACACACATACACAATATGCACACATGCACACATACACATGTACCCACGCTTATACACATGCACCCATACATACACATGCACCCACACATACACATGCACCCACACATACACCCATTCATGTGCACACACACACTTATGCACATACACTCATGCGCACACTTATGCACATACACATGTGCACACTTATGCACATACACATGCGCACACCCCCCCACAAACCCACACACGCATGCACATACACCCACACAAACCCACACGCATGTACATACACCACACAAACCCACACACGCATGTACATACACCCACACATGCATGCACATGCATGCACATACACAAAAACCCACACACGCATGCAAAACCCACACACGCATGCACATACACCCACAAAAACCCACACACGCATGCACATACACCCACAAAAACCCACACACGCATGCACATACACCCACAAAAACCACACTCGCATGCACATACACCCATATGCATGCACATACACCCACAAAACCCACACATGCATGCACATACACCCACACAAACCCACACACGCATGCATGCACATCACACACGCATGCACAACCCACACAAACCCACACACACGCACACATAACCCACAAACCCACACGCATGTACATACACCTACACAGACCCACATGTGCATGCACATACATCCACACAAACCCAAATGCACATGCACATACCCCTCACAAACCCACATGCGCATGCACATACACCCACACAAACCCACACATGCATGCACATACACCCACACAAACCAACACACACATGCACATGCACCACACAAACCTACATACACGCATGCACATACACCCATACAAACATGCACTTACACCCACCC